GAAGCTGAAAAGTCCTTGACTTCATGTAAACTCTACTTACAACAACTAAAACATTAGTGTGTTATCAACATTATTCTCATACTAAATCCAAAACATAGCACTATACCAGCTACTAGGAAGAAAATTAACTCTATCCCAGCCGAAACCAGGACAACAGGTGAATTTCAAGTACCATGTTGGATAAGGTTTCTTTACATAGAGACCTTTAAAATTTTATGTGGCATTAGTTATTGGACTCCTCTATAAGAAAAGCAAATTTAGTAATTTCTCTTTCATGGGGAACTGGAAATTGCAATTCAACTCTTTCAAACACTAGGAAATTTAAAGAAAGAATACTGAATTTAGTACATAACTGCAGACAGGTACACTAAACATGACCATAGGCTGTCACTTGTTTATTTCTAAGATAGAAACAAAGGAAATATCTACTTCAAATACAATTTCACTTCCTCTTCTTTCAGTGTAGATGGTAGTGTTCTTAAACCAGTTATATAAAAGAAGCCGGGTCTAAATACTGTCTTCACTTTATAAGCCAAAGAATGGTTTTCTGGAGATTTCTTTTGTTTGCGAGACACGTGGACTCCTATGTCACTTGGATGTGTATATATTCTTCAAAATTATGCCTTTGAAACAATGTCCCAGTCCAAGTACTAGTATTAATTAGATGTTTGTCCTAATCAGTTTGGATTTGTTTTGTTGAGGTCTCAGCCAAGAATAAGCAAGGCTAATTAATGCTAAAAAGTGGGGGGAGAGGGTTCCTTCTTTTTAAGTGCTTTGGAATATGATAATGCCTCTCGGTGAGAGTTGTGTATTGAATATAAAGGAGAAAATAATAGACTTTCATTTGTGGTTTGGTAATTTGTATTAGTAAGACAATATTATTTGTCATACAGAGACTAAGTGAATTGCAGATGTCACTTATGTGGCCATACTGATAATGGAATGAAAAAAGGCATGGCATAAGAAGTAAAGATGGATGTTAGTAGAAAACAGAACGTCTTTTATTTAAAGAAAATACTTTTTATGTTACTTCATACATGCACATACCCTTAATTTCCCTCTTTCACGCTTGGTCCATCATCTTATATGGTTTTGTCACCCAGGCAGTGGGATAACTGACATAGTTACAATCAACTTGGGTGCCACTTCTGACAAAATATTTCTAAAAGTTCTTAATGCTGTTTCCTTGTAAGTTGATGTCTGTCATTCCTTATTAAAGTTATCTATTTATATAATATCTGCCAGTTCTATGATATTGCAGACAACAGGCTTTAATGTTAAGTTGTGAATTAAATCTTTTTAAATTTTTAGCAGAATGTAAAGTTACTTACTATTTACGTATGTCTATTGCAATTTGAGAAATTTATAGGACTGTGTGTAAGCATACAGAAGAAGGAGAATGGATGCAATCATTAATAACAGTGTAGATGATGGATGGTTAATAAGTGGAAATAATCAAACATATGGATGAACCTGGTATTGCAGGCTCTATTCAGCTAAATTCAGCATCTAAATTCTAATTTTTTTTATTTTGGATTAACAAGGGACCTGGTGGACTGTCTGCTAAAGTCAATGAGACGTCTCTTGACTTCAGTGGACACTGGTTCAAGCCATGGATCCCACATGTTTAATAAATATGAAAGCTGTTAATTATTTTTATTGGGGGGGTTAATTAATGATCAACAATTTTATGTGTTTTTGCCAAAAACTGAATGTGACTGCTGTGATAGTTCACAACTTTCATATCTACTTCCTGTCCCTACATCATCCGGTCCTTAGCAAAAGGTACTCTTCCATACCTTCCAGAGTAGACTTCATGTCCACACCAGCTTTCAGAGTCTTACAAGTTGATACGGGATACAGCACAGGAATTACACTAGGAATTACCAATGGGATCTGCTGTTTAGCTTATTAGGAACTAATTGCTTCCAGAGAAATAATAAGTAGTATAACTTCATGCAAACACACCTTTGATAATTCATGAGCTTCAACTTTTAACATGCAAGTTTATTCTAATGAAGAATTCTAGTAAGCTGTTTATTACTGAATTAGAATGAGATTTCAAACAACACACTTTTAAAATAACAATCATTTTGAATATACCCAATAAGATGATTCTTTTCTAGCTTATTATCAATGCATTATCAATATTACAAACAGAGAAGCAAAGGGGGCAACTGAGTAGCACAGTCTGCTCTTTTTTCAGAATAAAATTTCTATGATGGGTTATTGTTTTCCCAGTTCTGACAAGATTTTTTTCTGGTATCTGACCAACACAAATGATACTTTAAAACATGCACTTCTAATTTAGGGGAATTTATTACACAGTAGCTTTGACTGGATGCCTAGAAATAAACTTGAAATGCCACATTTACATTTCCATTAAGATAGCAATTATTTTTTATACAAAAAGGTTCATTGGAGAACTGATTCATCTGCCCTTAGGACTTCTTTCTACACAAAACACTCTGACTTGCAGTTATAAGCTTCTGCTGCAAAAGTATGTTCATTGTATAACATATCAGAATATTTTTTATGATAGGTAGTGAGTGTAGAGACCACAGAGGATGCATTAATACAATACGGTGTTGGACATTAGAATGTATTTAGGCTGAACAGCCACAGCTGTAAGTACTAGAAGTATAGAACTTATTTTGCCCCAGGAGGAAACAAGCAATTACAGTATCTTAATTATTCAACTCCAGTTGATATGAATAAGCTCCTCCAGTGTCTAATGTAGACAGAAGGATCATAGAATTTAATTTTTGTCAGCTGAAGATATCATGGATATCTTCTTCATTTTTGAAACTACAGAAGACTAAAGACCATTTGGTGCTTATGCAATACAAATGAGAAATGTTGGCTTGAATTTAACGGTAAAGTATTAGCTTTGTTTATGCCAGCTCCATCATTGGAATTAACAGTCTAAGAACTTCATTAAGGATGTACTGAGACTGAGGAAAAAGTAAAAATCCATATTGTTACTGGGTCAGGCTTGGTCTAATGTTAAAAATAATCAGAAAACAGCTAAAAATACATATTTTTACCTAATAGTGAGGATCTCGTTAGTGAAAAGGAAGAATGTGGACTAGCCTGTTTATATTGGTAAAAAGGTTGTCTTTGAGACTGTCTTCTGGGTTTTTTGGACAAAAAGTGTGGAAAATACTGTCTCCGGGTAATCATCTTAATTTCTTATACCTGGATGATCATTGTACTATATACTTCTTGTCAAGAAAAAAGTAACACCTAACTCTGATTTAAAGTATTTGCAAAATCTCAGATGTTCACAAATTCTCGGTGAGCTATGCTGAGCTGGCTTTCAATAAAGGTTGATACAGTGGTTTCTTAGTAACAGTCAATTGATAGGTACCT